GCGGGAGACGGCTCCTGAGCAGCGGCGCGGAGCGGGGAAGCGGCGGTGGGGAAAGGGTACCTGGGGGAAACCCCATCCCACGTTCCACCCCAAGGGAATGTTCCCGAACAGCCAACCACACCCAGCGCCACACTCACGTTACCTTCTTTATAAAGTCGTCTGGGTGAAAACTGCCCAGAGAAGGAAGCGAACGAAAAACAGGTTTTTAGGGGGTTTATACTCACAAAATTGTCTTTTTTCTCCCACTAGGTATTCCCTGTTGACCATCATCTCGCTTCGGTTGTCACCGCTCAGGCCTTAGTGTTTGGTCTGTGACCCTTCCACTACTAGCAACCGAAAAAGTGAAGATTCCCGGACGCCTTCGGGTGTGATCTTCTAGCCTGGGCAGCTGCATTTAAAACAGCGCCTCAGGTGACGCTCAGGCGCACTGATGTTTGAGAAGCCCTGTGAGGCCGTACCTCCTGGAGAGAATGCCACAAAACTAATGACCTACAAGGAAACCGTGCTAGAAAATTCTAAAGCAATGGTTCTTAACTCTAGCAGCACCTGCCATCCATTAGAATTATTTGGGGAGCTTTTAGAGCATTTAGATACCAGGGTCCCACTTCCAGAGTTCAAACTGAACTTAATATTTTTTGTTTGTTTTGAGCTTCCCAGATAATCCTAATACAGTATACGGCCAAGATTGAGAACAATTTTCCTAGAGTCATGTCTCTTCATGTCTTCTTAGCTCTGGTGTCTGGGAAAGGAAGCTCCTTCCTCTGCGCCTCTCCCAAATCCCCACAATAAAAAAAACAAATACATGAACACCTAAAGGAATGCCCACAGCTGAAATTGATTTTAACCAGAAAAAGAGTCACCTTGAAAAAGGTGATCAAGATACCCTACTGCCACCTGAGCATGGAGCTTCTTAACTGCAGGAAACATCTTTATGAGCCAAAACCTCTTAGTTGAATTAGAAACTGACAATAGGTGACCCCTTTAGAGGAATGTTCTACTAGATTCCAAAATGATATTTTTGTTATCTGCAGCTGTTATATCTGCAGGGTCAGACCAAAGCATTCAGAAGCTGAGACTATGTCGGATGTCAGCCCTGGTTTTGCAGACTTGCATCGCTTTGCTCTGATCTTCTAGTGAGCTTAAATAACCATAATTGGGGACAGGTACAGGAAATTCCCTTTCCTGCCCATTTTAGCTCTCCTAGTATAGTTTGCATTCTTAGACTGGTGGACCGTAACTTCTATATCATTTGCCTCTAAGGAGGGTCTCCCTCAGTCTCTCATTTATCAGCAACTAATTAGTCAGTGACTCACTCAGTGATTCTTAAACACTTTATGGAGCAGGTCCATATGTCTAGGTGCTAAGGCAGCTAGCTGAATGAGCTGCATTTTAATTGAAGATGAATTAGTCCTTTTCGTTAGATTCTTTATGACAAAAGTTGAAAATTTTAAGATGCAGTTTTATATAGGTCTATATACATAATTTACATTCCTTATAAATAACCTAATCAGTTGCTGGCCCTAAAACTTCAACTGGATGGGTTTTGATTAAACAATGTGCAAGGGGCTACAGTGGTTGGTTGAAGGAAGCATCCATGTTTGCCTGTTAAGCATCCTTTCCTTAATGTCTTAGTCCATTTTGTGTTGATATAACACAATTCCACAGACTGAGTAATTTATAAAGAAAAGAAATTTATTTCTCATAGTTCTGAAGGCTGGGGAGTCTAATATCAAGGTGCTGGCATCTTGTAAGGGCCTTCTTGCTGCATCATCCTAGGGTGGAAGGCAGAAGGGCAAGAGAGTGCATGTGAAATTGAACTTGCAGCCTCAAGCCCTCTATAATTGGCATTAATTTATTTATAAGAGTGGAGCCTTTATGACCTAAACACCTCCTTTTGGGCCGCACCTCCCAACACTGTTGCACTTGAGATTCAGTTTTCAACACATGCTTTGTGGAGCACACATTCAAACCATAGCATTCTGCTTCTATGCCCTCCCACCCCCAGTTCATATCCTTCTCACATACAAAATACATTTATTCCATCCCAATAGCCCTAAAGGCATTTATTTATTTATTTATTTAGAGACAGGGTTTCACTCTGTCTCCCAGGCAGGAATGCAGTGGTGTAATCATGGCTCACTACAACGTCGACCTCCTGGGCTCAGGTGATTCGCCCACCTCAGCCTCCCAAGTAACTGGGACTACAGGTGCATGTCATCATGCTCAGCTAATTTTTTTGGTATTTTTTGTAGAGATGAGGTTTCGACATGTGGCCCAGGCTGGTCTCAAACTCCTGGGCTCAAGTGATGCACCTGCCTCAGCCTTCGAGAGTGGTGGGACTACAGTCATGAGCCACTGCATCTGGCAGCCCTAAGGCCTTCACTCTAGCACCAACTAGAAAGTCCAGAGTCTTATCTAAATCAGATATGAGCAAGACACAAGGCACAATTCATCCTAAGACAGATTTCCTCCAGCAATGAGCCTGTGAAATTAAAACAGATTATTTACTCCCAAAATACAATGGTGGCACAGGCACGGTATAGGTATTCACATTCCAAAAGGGAGAAATAGGTAAGAAAAGAGGGGTAACTGGTCCCAAGTAAGTCCAAAACTCAACAGGGAAAACAACATTAAATCCCAAAGCCTCAGAATAGTCTTTCTTGACTGTGTCTCATCTTCTAGGCATACTAGGGTGAGGGTTGGACCCTAAAGGTCTTGGGCTGCCCCATCTGTATAACTTTGCTGGGCACAGTCATGTCACAGACCTCATGGTTTGTAGTGTCATGCCTGAAGCTCTTCCAAGCTGTGTTGCACACTGGTAGCTCTACAGTTCTGGGGGCTCTGGGACAGCCCCAACCCCACAGTTCCATTGGTCTAGTGGTGGTTCCCTGCTATGGCTTTGCTCCCATGGCTCCACTAGGCATTTCCCTGGTGGGGAATCCCTGTGGCAATTCTACCTCTACAGCAAGTTTCTGCCTGGATCCCCAGGCTGTCCAGTACATTCTTTGGAATCTAGGTGGAGGCTGCCATAGCCCCACAGCTCGTGAACTTTGTGCACCTTCAGAATTAGCACCACATGGATGCTGCCAAGGCCCACCACTTGCACCCTCTAGAACAGTAGCCCAAGCAACACCTGGGCCCACTTGAGCCACACAACTGCAGCAGCTGTGGAGCACTGTGCTGGAATGTGGGGAAAAGATACTTGAGGCAGTGCCAGGTAGCAAATATGGAGGTCCTATGGCCACCTCTCTGGAAACCTTGCCTTCAAGGTCCTGCTCTAGACCTGCGTTGGAAGGGGCAACCTGAAAACATCTCTGAAATGCCATTGGAGTCTTTCTTGTCTTGATGAATAGCACCTGGCTCCCTTCTAGCCACGGTAATCTCTTTAGCAAGGGGTTCACTGGACCACATCCCTACAAGGACTTACATCCTTATGAGACTCTCCCAGACATCCTTTTGCACTCTTGGCCAGGCTGAACATTTTCACAATTTTTACTTTCTGCTTCCTTTTTAATTATAAATTTCATCTTTTAATCATTTATCTCTTCTCTAATTTTACTGTAAGCAGCCAAAATAATCCATGCAACACCTTGAATGCTTTACTGCTTAGAGATTTCTTCTGCTAGCTATCCTAGTTCATTGCTCTTAAATGCTGCCTTCTTTTCTCTAGCTTACCTTTTTGTAAGAATACAGTATAAAATACATATAACATGCAAAATATGTGTTAATCAACTGTTTATGTTATCAGTAAGGCTACCAGTCAACAGTAGGCTATCAGTAGTTAAGTTTTGGGGGAATCAAATGCAGATTTCCAACTATGCAGAGATGGGGGTGTACCTAACCCTTAGATTGTTCAAGGGTAAACTGCATGAAATAAATTGAACAGACTAAAAAGTATTTACTGTAAATATCTTGCTGTGTTTGCTTTCCAGCATCCCTTATTTCCTTTTTCAGGTACCAACATCATCATTTTTTTGGAGAACTATTTCTCCCTGACTTTTCAATCCTAAGTATCTGTCATAAGCTGAACAGTTGTCCCCCACCAAAGATATATCCATGCTCTAATCCCCAGAACCTTTAAATATGATCTTGTATGGCAAAGTATGTAATTAAGTTAAGGATCATGAGAGGGGGCGCTTATCCTGGATTATCTGGGTAGGCTATGAATAAACTGTAAGTGTCCTTATAATCGAAAGGAAATGGGAGTTTTGAGACAGAAAATAGGAGGCAATGTGACTACAGAGGGCAGAGACTGGAGTATGGGGCCACAAGCCAAGGATGTCTTTGGCCATGGGAAGCTGGAACAGTTTCCCTGCTGTAGCCTTTGGAGGAACACAGCCCCACCTCCAGAACTATGAGGGAATAAAATTTCAATTGTTTTATGCCATCCAGGTTGGGTAATTCATTATAGCAGGCATAAGAAACTGATACAATGTCCGATTCTATAGGCTCTAGTCATTGGTTCAGGGAGAGGCACATGACCCAATTAGTCCAGTTAAGACTCCATTATAGGACAATCCCTGAGACTACTGAGACAGAAAAGTTCTCTTTTCCCACGGAGGCAGCCCATATTGGGAGAATATAGGCCTCAAGCTGTTTATGGCCATCATGTAGAGAACTGGGCCTTATATGTGGAGAAAGATAGAGACAAATACCTAGTGTCGATGATGTCATTTGAACTTCTGGATCAAGCAGTATCTGAAGCTAGATCTATCCCTGGACTTAGCAGTTTTATCAGCCATTTAACTTCTCATTTTACTTAGGCCAGTATGAAATGGGTTTCTGTCACAAGCAGGCAAAAGAATCCCGACTAATAGAGTCTTAGAATCTTTGTTACCTGGTAGGTTTGCCAGTTAAATATGAACTTCAGATTAACAACAAATAATTGTTTTAGTACAAGTGTTTCCCAAATGTACCATGGGACAGATACTAAAAAAATTATGTGTTGTTTTTCTGAAATTCAGATTTAACTGGGTATCCTGTTTGGCTTTTGCCATTGTTTTGTTTTTGTTCTCTGGAAATCCTGTGTTGGAAGAAGGTTTTTTTATTGATTATTCCAAACCTTTGAAAGGTCAGGTTGTTACAGTCCAAAGGAAAGTAGAAATTCCTGGACGTTGATCCATCCTCATTCTAGAGTAGATGGCTCTTGTAATTTTAAGCATTCAAGTAACTGCCTTCAGTCTTCTGTATTGATTGGGGTTGTAAAACAGTGCGATTATACCTCCATGGTGTCATGAACCTGGCTGCAATTTGGAATTGAGAAGGACATGTTGGTTTGTAAAAGTCTCCCATCACCGAGTAAAGAGGTGCCGTAGTGTGTTGTGAGACCTGTAACATCTTTTGACTGATGCTCTTACAGAGCTGCCTTCACCATTTGCTCTTCTTGTTGTGGGGTACATGT